CTATATTTAATTATATATTTATAATACATATAAAACTCTATTTATTTATAATGGAAACAATTAAACACTTTCTTAAATATCATCAACAATTATTATATTTAATTTTATATTTTTTATTTAAATTATTAAATAATAAATCATAAATATGTGACTCAAATTCATTATCATAAAAAATAATCTTCAATTATTAAGCCGCAGGTCCTTTTACAATTTAAGATTCATTTGAAATAGCTTTCTTACTGTTTTATAAAGCAGCTTTAAAGAAAAATTAGTTAAAAAATTTTTATATTAAAAATATGCTTTAGATAGGAGTAGGAAACCTGTCACAAACAAGATTATTATTCTGTGTCGACGTCGAACGTTGTCCGGAGACCAACCAAAATGCGCTACGTCACCCCTTGCTCGGTTATCCGCCTCGGTATTGCAGACGTGACACATTCTGATATGTGCCAACGCCGAACATTGTCCGGAGACCAACCAGAATGCGCTACATCACCCCTTGCTCGGTTATGCACCTCGGTACTGCTCGGTACTGCTGACGTGACACATTCTGATTTGTCTCCGAATGACGTTCTACGTTCAATCTCTGCACATAATAATTTCTCCACAAACGAAGCCTTAATGTCATTAAAAAAAAACTCTTTGTTATTAAAAATCAGAATCAATTAACCGAGCAATTAATGCTAACCATTAAGAACATTTTGATTTGTACATTAAACGAAATTAAAAAAGAAAATCAGATCATCCATGCCACTAATTTTGGCGATTTCTAAAATCCGGATAGAATAATCATAATCTAAAATACATGATTTCAATCCCTGCAATTTAATTATTTTTAAAACATTACATATAAATTCTTAAAATGACTCACATTTAGCATATATGAAAAGAAAATTAGGGATTTAATCATGTGATTAAGAACAATACAGATAATCTTTACCCTAGAAAAATAGCGGAAATGTGATACAATTTAATTTTGCTAAAATGTAACACCCACCTGATCATTAAAGATTAAAACATTTAGAATTGATGGAATGGCTTCTCAAAATCTCGTGATTGCATCCTTGATGATTTGGAGAGAGTGCGATATGTCATCCAGAAGCTTGTGGGGATCTGGAATCACAAGCTCGTCAACTGCAAGCACCACCTTCATTTTATTTAGATAACTTTGAAAGTGAATCGTCAGGGCCTGCAGGATTTCTTTAATAATAATTAGAAACACTCAACATTTTTCAGTGTAATCAAGAGGGTCAATTCTGACATCCAGGAATTCTTATTGCCTCTGCAAAGCAGTCAAAATGCATATGGAATAGGTAAGATTATGGCTTCATTTGGGACGGCTTTTTTATTATTTTTTAAAACGGAGTAATTTCTTCCGTTTTAAAAAATAATAAAAAATCCGTCCCAAACGAAGCCTAAGGCTTCCATTAGGACAACTTTCTAAAACAGTTAAAATTTTAATAGTAAAAATTTGTTTCAAGAAAGCTGTTCCAAACGAAGCCTAAATATTTTTTAGATTTTAAATAGATCCATCATGTTGATCCAAAAGTTTTTTAGAGCAACCAGGATCTAAGTGGAGAGAGGAATCATGCCCAAGGTGTAAGTAGAAGAGAGAAAATAAATCTTATGAAATTTCTTTGGAAACTAAAAAACTTGATTGAACTCTTTTGGATCACATATGAAGCTAGTCAAGGACCCAAGGTTGTATGGATTTGAGAGTGGATTGAAATTATTTTCTTTATTATTTAAGAGCATTGAGGATTAAGTGAGGTGGTGGAGGGTTAATTTGGAGTAAATCGGCTTACTTAGGGTGAGCTACGATGGTTTAAAAGGTTGGTTAAGGCTTCGTTTGGATCGGCTTTCTTCTGCTTCTTAAAGCAGTTTTTTTAGTATAAAAAATTTAATTTTTTATTTTAGAAAGCTATTTTTAAAAGCAGTAAGAAAGACATTCCAAATGAAGCCTAAGACTAACTAGATTGACTGGAGGGTAAGATGGAAGTGTAGGGGCTGATTTAGTAGTGGTATTTCTATTCCATGGGATGTGGTGGAATATAGGAAGAATTATTGGGTGAGTAGGAACATGTTTTATGAGTGAAGAATTCGGATTTCTGCAGAGTGCAGACTGGGTGAAGGGAGAGGCGTTGTGGCCGTCGGCTATGGCGATACTTCCCATCCACTTGCGTAAGATATGTTATTGAATGACTTGAGGCTTCGGGTGCTTGGGTTTCAAGTTGTAGGTAGTTCAATGTTGTTCATAATCAGCTGATTTTAGGACCTGATTCAGGTTCCCAATGTGAATTAGGCTTCGCTTGGAATGACCTTTTATTGCTTCTTAAAGCAACTTTCTAGTACAAAAATTTTAATATTTTATTAGAAAGCTGTTTTAAGAAGTAATAAAAAAGTTGTCCTAAACGAAGCCTTAATATAACCCAGATGGATAAGAATCCCTTTCCAATGCCTGGTTCTTTTGTCTCTTTAAAGATGTCAAGGACTCGAGAACAAAAAACACTTAAAAAACCTAGTCCATTCTAATCTATGTAAGAGTCGATCTAGTGCATTTACAATATATGATGCACAAATTCTTGACACGTGTAGTTCACATCAATTATCAATGCCAATGCCTATAAATTTGAGATTTGAACTTCTCTTTATAACTTTATTACTTGAGGATCAATTATGGTATTATTAATCTTCAATTATATTAGAGCTTGCCTAGTGTCAAAGATGATAAAATTATAGAGAACTGTGTGCTCATATATTCCCAAAGAACTTTGAAAGAAATTTGGCAAAGAGGCCACTGTGTAAATCTCATCTGGCAGTCGAGGGGTTGTCTTCAGTGGAGAAACCGCCATTAATGATGTGAAGTTTAAAAAGAAAAAGGTTAGCCAAATGAATAAGGATTCTCAACTAGGCACTGTAAGCTTTATAGAATGTTATTGAAGCTGACAAGGTTATTTATGAGGGAGAAGATATCTATGAAGTCCCTAGACGACGGGTTAGCGACTGATGTTCAGAATATAACCCCTCCGACAGAAGAACAAGGTAAAGGGATTAGACACCACATAGCTAATTCCGGCAGAAGAACAAGGTAAAGGGATTAGACAATGAAGGAAATGCTGGAAAGTTGCGTGAGAGGGAACCAACAGTAATGATCTTTTTGAAGAACTACTAGCCATGATTGACACATTAAAGAAGACAAAAATGAGTTTAAAAGTCAATTGCAAAAATTGAAAAGATCAAGCTCACTGTCATTTATGGCTGCCAAGCAATGAGTTGTCAGGATAGAAGTTGTTGGTCAAATTGTTGGAAGTCGCCTAGATAAAATAGATGCAGAGATGAACTCGTTTGGTGTTAATTGTCCTGTCAAGCAGCCTGGAAATCTTTATTTGGGATAGTCGACAAGAAGTTAGAAACTTGAGATGAAAGTTCTTGGACGCTTACGAAATGAGTCTATTTGGGATATTTCGATAAACTTCGCCCGCCGACTACAGTCCTTCCGAACACCGTCACCCGCCGACTACAGTTAAACGAACCAAACAGACAGGCTAACATTCTCTTGAAGACAATTTCACATCAATGTATTTTTCTCAGCTCTCACCATGTAATACGTTGTATATGATGTATACTTGCTACATTGAACCAATGCCCTCCCCCCAAGGAATGGCATCATTTGTAATCAACTACAAACACTAGTGGAATCATTTTTAACTAGGCTAGGCCTCGTAGTTCTTCCCCTTTTCAGTCCACGTAAAAATGTTGGTGTCTCTTATTACTTTCGCACCCCTCTCTATTATCTGTGTTGGATTTTCGTTCAAAGCTAAAATATTAACCTCTTTATATCTCTACCGCTGCGAATATTCCAGGACGCAACAAGTTTGAATGTTATAATTGTGTATTGTCTTTATTTTTAACTTAATGTATTAGAAATTCTATTTTAAATGAAATGAAAGTTTGTTTTTCCTTTTACTTAGTTTGTGTTTATGAGAATTTAAGATGTATGTTCAGACCTTACTTCTCGTTGATAGCAATTAAGGGGTTGTTTGGTATGCAGAATTAGGAGGGTAAAGTAATTTACTTACGCGCATTTAGTAAATTATGTCGTTTAGTCGATTTTGAGCGGAAAGTAAGGAATTCCTCGGATGCATCAGCGGTGTATTACAGAAGACCGTTCGTGCGACTTCGAAACCCGCTCAAATTGAGCAGGTTAGAAATCCTCTCACCCAAAATACTGCCTTATGAGCGAGAGCCACTGACCGGAGGGAACGCAGTTCTTGGCATCGAGGACGTTGCCGGCATTTAGCGGCACAATTTCTCATGGGCTTCGCCACAAACTATGCCTTCCTAATGTGCGGCCGCTTCGTCGCCGGCATCGGTGTCGGCTATCCTCTCATGATAGCGCCAGACTACACCGCCGAAATTTCCTCTGCCTCAGCCCGCGATTTTATCACCACCTTCCCCGAAATATTCATCAACCAGGGCGTCCTCTCCGGCTTCATCTCCAATTTTTCTTTCTTTGGTCTGCCGGAACACATCAGCTGGCGCATGATGTTCCTTGTCGGAGCAATTCCTCCAATCCTAATCTTCGCTGGCGTCCTCATCGTGATGTCGGAGTCTCCTCGCTTGCTCGTGATGCAGGGCCGCCTTGAAGAAGAAACCACCGTTCTCGCCAAGACTTTCGACTCCCCCGAAGTAAGTATATCAGGGGCTTTCTTCCTCGATGTTGGGATAACTGTGATTGGTTTTTTTTTTTCCTTCTATTTTTCTTGCTGGAGACGAAGGGGAGGATCTTGGAGGAGATGGAGAAGTTGTTCGGGAAGAAAGAGAAGCACGAAGGGCAGGTTGACGCTTAGTTGAGAACGAAGAAATGGTCGATCTTGCAGCTGTTGCCGATTCAAGCTATGAAAAACTGCAATTTTAATTTCTATAATGTAACACAATATCATCTTTGTCTCACTTTTTATAAAAAGAAAAAAAATTGGAAGCTGAAAATGGGAGAATCAAATGCATAACAATTTGAATAATATGATATTGGTACTAGACAAATATACCACTAAGTTTTTATTTGAGATAAATTTTTTATTATTTTTAATTTTTTAGTAAGAAAGCTTTTTACTAAAAAGCTGTTTTAGACAGCAATAAGAAGTTATCCCAAACGAAATCTAAAGATATATGATGTTATTTTGATTTGAAAAGGAGGAAACATAAGATTTTAGTGGAGCAACCAAGTTTTAGAATGATGAATATATGCACATTTCACATCTCAATTGATTGCATGCAGCTTTGGAGTATATGCAATGGATTGGATTGGTAGGCTATTTTACTTTGTACTTGAAGTTCCAAGTTGTGATATAATCTTTAGTGTAGCTTACAAGATTCTTCATTGTCAAACGAAGAAAATTTGGCTTAGGATAACCTGACTAAATTTTAGTTAGGATGAATTTTCTAATCATTGAATTTGCCTAATATAAATGCAATAGATGATTAATCAATCAATTTATTTTATAACACCAAATAATAGTAATTATTATAACATCAAAATAATACTAATTATTATAATTACACTGCTTTTATAAATACACTAGTTGAAATGCCAAAATAAATTATTACAAAAAAACCGCTTTTACTTTATTCTGGTTCTACCTAACCAAACAAGAGAAACAATTCTCCTGCGTTTATTTTGCAAACAACCAAACAGTCTCAAAGTATACGGAATGCACTACATTTACTTTACAGTGCATTTTCTTTTCAGGCAACTAAATAACCCCTAAATCTATTTGACCTTATTGGTTGAAGTCAAATTTCATTCTGTTGTTGTCATTTAAGATAAAATGAACTACCTTGAAGTCAGCTCTTCATAAGTTGTTCATTTATTGTGAAGTCAAACCTTTAATTCTGGAGTCTGTCTTTTAAAATAGAGTTAGCAAGTTTGATCAAACCAAAGGCACAGATTAGGTTGACACTAAAGAGTTGACAGCTTAGTACAGTTAGGGGAAGAATGAATAGATTGAACTCGTTGTAGTTAGTTGTATTAATGGGAAAATCATTTTGGAAGTCGAAGCAATTCCAAGCAGTGGAGATGAAATATTTCGAGAGTGAGAACTCTCGATGAACTATCCAAGGAAGTGCTCTCAATGAGTACACTAAGCAATTAATCAAGGCAAGAAGGTGATTTCAACCAAATTCAATAGCTTAATACTGAGAACCAAGTTATAACAAACTCTTAAACACTTATCAAAGATATATTTATAGGCGACTTAGGAATAATTGAGTTCCAAGTTATAGACAGTTCAAGTTAGTTCATTAATTATTAAAGTTGTTCCATGTACAGGAATAAAAAGCTTGTCTTGGATAGAATGGAGTGATTCCATGTACTTTGTTTTAAATAAATTTTATTTTGTTTGCAAAGGTTTGATTTATATATAATAAAAGATAAAAAGAGGTTTTTTAAGAAGATAAACCATAAGATTTGACAACTCAAGATGAATGTTCATAGCGTAGACTAACTTGATTCAGTTTTCAAACCCTATCTTAAGCCCAACAAAACCAACCAATCATGTTTTGCACTGTGTATCATTATGGAGCGAGCTACAAAACTCCTAAAAGAATTTAGGATTCCAATAACAATTGATGAGAGCTAATCAGAGAAGAATGCAAAGCACAACATAGATAGGGTAACGGGAAGAATTCACAGATAGATATAAAGAAACAAACAGGTAACTACGCAAGACATGATACAAAACATCGAGCATTTTCAAGTAACTCACCTGTGGATGTCCATAAACACTAGGAGCAATGTAGACCAAGGGAGAACCACAAAAACCAACTTCCTCCATTGGCCCAACAATATTTGAGAATGATAAAGATGTGTTAGAGACGATCCTGTGACACAAAATTGTCCCCACCTGTTGTAAATTAATAGGATTAACAATGAGAAAATATTTCTAAATTTCAAAATTTGAAACATATAGATGGCAATTTTGAAAGTTGAAAAATATTAATATAGGTTAATCTGAGTCTAAGCATGCCATGCAAAACTATGAATTACAACACAGAGTTCAAAGAAAACTGCACTGCCACCTCTTCTCCGACTCAATTCAAACTATCCCCTCCCCTTTGCCAGGAGCTGTAACAAGGAGCTGTAACGAGGAGCTCACTAAATATCCCTCTGATTAGATGAAGTTCAAGTTTTCAAATTGAACCGAAGTCATTAAAGGTTTCCATAAACGCATTGGCTATTCAACCTTCAAATTAAAACCATCCAGCAGCAAAGGATGTTTTTCTATTCAGATGGAAGGCCTCCATAAACGAAACAAGAAGACCAAGATGAAAGACAATGTTTTTCTATTGGTAATGACAAAGAGGAATAGCATTTAGCGCATGCAACAATTCAATTTTCTGGGAATCTCAATTACTTGATGTCATGGAACCATAAGCTATCATTTCAGCAGTAAAACTGTCGAAAAGACAATAGAAAAACAAAATTGCATTACAGTCTTATACACAGTTGTCTTTGATAATCTGAATAAATAAGAAACTAGTTCTATATCTTTCATTGCAATCATGGCTGAACAGTTCTAAATAAATTTTTTAAGGGTAGTTCAAAAAGTGAAGCTTTATATGAGGTGGGATCCTGGGTAATATGCATAAAGGACTTGCCACAATCTAAAAGCTTGATCAAGCTGATAACACTTAGGTGCCTGCCATCAATCCCTAGGCCTGTTGGTTGGGAGTTATTGCTCCGTCTCAATGGTCTTGGATTGGAAGATTGATATAAATGTGCGTGTGTGTGAATTGTTCTTCGACACTCAATTGTTGATTTGTATGTTTGATGGTTTGAGGGTTGGCATAAGTTATGCCAACAATTTATATTTATATAATATGCAACCAACAATGTTACATTAATTATGGTTATTACATGCTAGTAATTTGTGATAATAGAGTGTATGTTTATTGTCTTAGTTTTATACAAATATCCAACATGCATAGATAAAAATTGTGAAAGACAAGAAAAATTTTTTATGTGGAAAACCAAAAAATAATAAAAATCATGAGGCCTGATGCAGTTGCAATAATCCACTATATAATAGAAGATATAAGAATCCTTCCTCATAAATGAGGAATATGAGATTATCCACAATTGAATAAAAATATCTTATTTATATTGTAGGGATTATACAAATCAATTTTTCACAAATGGACAGTCAAAACCAAACAATTTTTCACAAATGGACAGGTTATATGTTAATAGTCAAGAGATAATAGTCGGATGACAAAAATATGGCAATTGTTGCGGCAATTAATGATGTGGTCATCGGCGTTGATCAGAAAAATTTTCTATAGAGTTCTTTAGCACTCCTAGATGTTCAATTTCCCCTTCATGTAGAGAATGAGGCCTTATTTAAAAGAACATTTTGATAAATTTGTTTAAATATCAAGGTGGTTTGACCAAGTATTTTCCTATTTCGGTTGGCGAGAATTTGACCTTTAATAGGACACAATGGAGAAAAAGGATTCATGTAGCCGACCCCACGTAGTGGGATAAAGGCTTGATGTTGTTGTTGTTGTTGTTGATAAATTTGTGCATAATTCTAAATATTTTCATGTAGTCCCATATTAATCCTTTTGATTGTAGATAGTTATATCAAATATTTAAATGTCTTAATGATATCATAATTGAATGATCTTGGGCACATAACATCTCGATTTGACTATAAGCATACAAATATATGAAGACTATTTGATCTCTTAATTAATATTTAGATGTTTCCAAATATATTTCATATGGTTGATTGAAGCTCAATTAAAATTAGATCAAATCATTTGTGTGTCAATAGGTTCAACTCGCAAGACTTTCAGCTCAACTATAAATTCCTTGAAATCAGAAGTCGATTCATCCTGGAGTTAATCCTAAAAGTTTTCAATTCAAAATTGACTCAAAATTCGTGCCAATCAAGCAAAATTTTTGAAGTCGTGTCATTTTCCCCCCATTTTCGGATATAGAAGTTTTTGTCGTAAGAAAATAGTGATTGAACACAACCCACAAGTGAATGAAAAGTAATGCTTTGCTCACCAAATTTATGTTAATTTTGGGTGGAATTTGATTGTGGTGATAAATCAGGTTGTACTGCTAACTCAAACCTCAAATCTGCTGGTCAGGCTCAACGATGAGCTCGTTGGGGGGTTGCAGGGGGGCAACATGCCCCTTCTTGGGGGAGAAGCCCCAAGAAATAATTTTCTTGTCCTTACAACACCGTGATGCTAAAAATCCAATGCCAAGGCTCTGCAGAACCCCTCAGAGAAAGAGAGCACAATACCATAGCACTATAGTTCAAGCATCGCAATGTTGTGAACTAAAGTGCTAAACTCCGTGTCGTAGCACTTTAGTTCACAGCACCATGGCACTGCGATACAGAGAATTCAGCGCTAAGGCGTTGTAGGTATAACACCATGGTTTAAAATTGTGCAATATGAGGCTCGCCTTGAAGCCCGCCTTTGTGCAATTCCAGTAAAAAACGCCTCGAGTTTTTTTATGAGGCTTGCGCCTCAACTTGGTTGAAGTCCGCCTTGAGGCTCGCCTCGCCTCACTGACATGAGGCTTACGCCTCACGCTATATATATTAAAACTTACATAAATCTTGAAGTAAATGCCCGACATTGGACTCTATAGGAGAGAAGGAATGGGAAAGAGCAGTTCACCATAATGATGATTCAAATGAAGAACCCCTTAGTGATGACAGTGCTGATGACTTATGAGTTCTTATGTGATATGTCATTGCTATTTATTTTTGGAAATCGGAATTATATGTTAATGAAAAGAATATTGAGATTTCGGAAAGATAGAATTTTGAGTTGAACTATATTTCATGTTGTCTTATTGAAATATTTTGATTTCACTTATTAGTATATAAATTTTTATTATTAATATTGAGTTGAACTATATTTCATATTTTGATTTCACTTATTAGTTAATGAAAAAGAATATTGGGATTTCGGAAAGATAAAATTTTGAGGTAATGCATATCTTATGATTTTTTATGTTTTATATTATTCACTCATTAGTATATAACAAATTTATCATTTTATGTTTACGCAATCTTTTGATTTTGAGGCTTACACCTCAAAACGCCTTGAGGCTTACGCCTCGCCTCACAAATGAAAAACGCCTCAATACCCGAATATGCAATTTTAAACATTGTATAACACCACAGCGTTGCGAGTCAGGCTGAGTAGGTTTTCTTATTTTACTGCAGGGTTGCGTCTTCGGTGCAATAGAACTATAGAAGTGAATCTCTTTGCCTGTTCTAAGTGTAGAATGTTGTGAGAAGTAAAGAGAGATAAGGAGAGATTGTGAAAAGAGATATCTGTTCAATTTCTCCCATTTTTATACTTGATTTCTTGGTGTGGTACGGCTTCATGGTTTTTACCCAGTTTTGATTTTTTTCCACATTAAATCCTCATGTTCTTTTTCATTGTTTTTATTTTCTTGCTTGTTTCATTGTGTGGTTTATTTCCGGCAACTTATCAACACCCAACCAAAATATAACAAAAAGTAAAATGAGCAATTACATGGTGAATTGTGATGTGCCAATTTTTCTTTCCTATGAGCTGACTTATGCCTGTCTCTGGAGCAAAGCACGGAAAAAACCAGTAAATATTAAACATACCTTAAATCCCAAAGTCTTAACAATCACCAAAGACGAAATATAAGTAAATATGGCCTCCCATGATTTCTTCTTCTTCTCGACAACTGCCATTCCCTTCCGGATATAATCCAAAGGATCCTCACACTCCATTACAGGAAAACGGAGCAGCATGTACCCCATCTGATTACCCCATTTGGCTCCGCTGCCCTTTCTCATCATTTCGGCCAAAGCCTGCCAACAATACACAATATAATAGACAATATCATTTCTAAAGGAAAATGAAAATGGAGCAAAATAGAAACTGTTTACTCACATTAATTCCCGGGGTCGGCCGAATATTAACAAGCAGCGAAGTTCTAATCCGTAAGTTTTTGGGAAGGCAGCCGTCATAGCTCCTGCTGAGATAACGAGACAGAGCGGCGGACGTCACTCCCACTAGAACATCATTGATGGTCTATGGGGAAATCGGTCGAACAGTTAGCCTGCACTGAACAAAACATGAGCGTATTGACAAATTGAGAAGCGTTTAGAAGTAGCTTACGCAACCCATGGCGTTCTTTATATCCTTAATGTCGTCAAGACTGAGGGTGCGGTGCACAAATCTCTTCGGCCGGAACTCGACGCCCTCCGACCCCATGATTCGCGTCCTAGTGTCCTTTAAAAAGAAGGCGGAGGCAACGAAGAGGAAAGCATGGACAAGCGTGTTCCAAGCGTAAACAAGAAAGGTCCAGATCCAGAAGAGGAGCACCCAAGGGCCGAAGCCGGAGACAGCGGCGGCGGACCGGCGTCGGGCAGCGGGGAGAGATGGAAGAGATTCGTAGTCAGAGGTTCGGCGAGTGCAGGCGAGGAATAGGGACATGAGAGAGATGCCGTCGCCGAGGGAGTGGTGAATGCGAAAGACACCGACGCAAGTTGCCTCGGAGGTGCGGATGGGGAGGAAATGGAGATCCCAAAGCGGATGGGATGGGTCGAGAGGGGAGTGGTAAAGACCAGAGGTGTAATCCTCGACAAAGCGGTCTCCGACAACGGGATCATCTGCAGCGGCGGCGGTGGTGGCGTCGCTGATATCTGGGTAGATGACGTGGTTGTCTAGGTTAACCTTAGTTGGGACCCATCGCGGTTTATCGCTCCCGGACAAATCCGTTACCTGCAGTCAAAGCAACCAAGCAGGTAAAATTTACCATGATTATTTTCAATATACTCCTATCTTTTTTGAGAATTACATTAATGTTTTAGAGGTAAAAAAAATTGTTTAATAATATTTTAGAGCAACTCAATTATTAATATATAAAAAAATTTGGGCCATTAAAAAGAACTGTCTAACATTACCCTTTAAAATATAAATATAATTAAGTAATTAAATTTTATCTAGCGTCGCTGATATCTGGGTAGATGACGTGGTTGTCTAGGTTAACCTTAGTTGGGACCCATCGCGGTTTATCGCTCCCGGACAAATCCGTTACCTGCAGTCAAATCAACCAAGCAGGTAAAATTTACCAATTATTTTCAATATCCTCCTATCTTTTTTGAGAATTACATTAATGTTTTAGAGGTAGAAAAAAATTGTTTAATAATATTTTAGAGCAACTCAATTATTAATATATAAAAAAATTTTGGGCCATTAAAAAGAACTGTCTAACATTACACTCTAAAATATAAATATAATTAAGTAATTAAATTTTATCTAAATAAAAATAAATTTAATTTGAATATTAATTCTTACTATGAGTCAATTTATTGGTTGTGGAGTTTCAATATACACCAAAATAGTATCTTTTATTGAAATAGTACATAATTATTGTGTTCATTTTTTTTAATATCTTATTATGGTAGAAATTTTTTGGACATGATAAGCAAAAAAATTTGAAGTATGTAATTCAAATTCATTACTCGGGAGAAAGAACATTCTCCTTTAATTAAATGGCCACATATCCGTTCATTGAACATTTCATTTTCAATTATCAAAAATTTATTTCGTCAGGCTTAGCTGAGTTGGTGGGCGAGCATGGTTGGAAACCCCCTAGCCCATCCTTAATTCCTCTTTCATGCGACACGAATCCTTAAATGGGGAGAAAATAATTGTGTGGTCCTGCACCTATGGGTTGGTTGTTGTATGACCACTGAGGAATTAGTTACACTGTTATGCGCCTCCTCTAACCACTATTGCCCAACTATGATTCTATAAACACAATTCTCGTACTATAATTCTCTAAACCTCTCTCCATGCATCACCAGCATCTATTGATGTTAACTAGTATTAACCTCTACATTTGATCTCACTCAAAGCCTCGTTGATGCATTCACATTCATCACTAAGTAATATATCATAACAATAACTCTATTTGTAAATCATGCATATGTAGTAGAATATTTTCGACTAGGCAAAGTCACATGTTTATTCTTTTTTTGGATTCTCCGCGTAAAAAATCTATGGTGTCATGTCATCCAAGCTCTTTAGTTTTCCTATTTTGTGTCCTAAACATCACGTAAAACTAATATGCAAAATTCTCTCATTTTACTATCTTGAATTATCTAGCATGCAACAAATGTTCTCACAATATTGATCTCGAAATGATGTTGAATAAGAAGATTAATTAATCCATCATCACAATATTCATAAGATATGGGACCATCATCAAATCCATATTTTATAATCATACACTTTTTCAATCTCATCATCCAAAGTTTAAAAGCAATAATTTATCAAATAATCATTTTCATATCAATTTTGAGCATATCATAAATAAAATAGTAAAAATAAAAACTTGTTACATTGATAAAAAATACTAACAAAATAATTAAATGCAATCCCGCATTTAATATTTTTATTATTTAGTAAGTCAAAAAAGTTATGATATTTATTAATTATTTATCACTGATGTGACTCCAAAAAAAATCATATAATTAAGTTATATGTATCTCACAGCAATCTTTGAATTGAATACTTTAAAATTACATTCTTCATCATTCGAACTCCAATTTCAACAAACTTATAGTTGATATGAACGTCTTAATGAGAAAATCCCAACGAGATAGTCCAATTCGAGTCAAAATAAGAACAAATTAAACACTTTAAGCATAATTGGAAACTTAAAACATTAATTAGTTGACCAAATGATCTCCAAATTCGACATGCTTATGGTTAAATCGAACGGCTTGATGAGATGAATCCAACGAGCCTAAGATCACTCAATTCTGACATATTTAAGATATTAAATACTGAATAAATGCTTCATGATCAAGGTAATCAATATGGACCGTATAATGGAATATTTTAGATTCTTATTCAAATTATTAAAATGTTTATCCCAAAAAATCTATAAATATAGTCTTATTCTCTAAATGAGAGGAAAAGAATTGAAAGAACTAGATGAATATCTCTTGTATTTTCCAGTTATTATCATCTATGCCCACCACTAACTATTGTCACTAACAACCATCGTTGCTGCCAACTTTCACCGTCATTAATCATCAGCATCTCATGAATTCCGACAAAATTTAATTTTGCTATTGGTAGTTAGTTTTTCATCTATGAACACTTGATTTTTGTTAGCCTATCTATAAGAGAAATCAGACATCTTATTCTCAAATAGTCTTCTTCTTCTACAACGTGAGGAAGGAAGATTCTTATATATTCTAGTTCAAACCCCATAATTTTTTTTCTTTTCTGATTTTTCAAGGAAAAAAAAAAGATTTTCCTACTATTATTTGTTAATATTAAATTTTTATGCTACGCTCAGACATACCCACACAAACTTTCTAGCATATAACAACAACAAAAAAGACATGCGTATACAACTTATCATTATTCCATGATGTTTACAAAGCAATTGAATAATCTAGAATCCTTCTTAAAGCTGAATAAAGTAAATACAATAAAGAGACGGCAACCGGCAATCCGCTATTTTTTACGGACTAATATAACCTTGCTTCAACAAACATAATTACACATTCTGCCATCAAGTAAAAAAAAAAGGGTTTTCTACTTAAAATTTAGGATGTAAATAAACTTTTCTGAATAGATTTTCAATGCATGAACGAAGATGCCGAAGAATTAGGAGTGGTTCGATTAAATTTAAAGCGCATATTTAAGGCACCGTTTGGTTTGGTTTGGTGACCTAATCGTACCCACCCTGAAAAGATTTCAGTGTGTATAAATTATTATGTGGGCACATCAGACGTCATCCGGAGGCTAATTAGAACGCGCTACGTTATTTTTTTGCTTGATATCAATGTTGGATAATGCTGGGTACCTGATGATGTGACGGGTTCTGATTGGCCTCTAGACTGTTCAGCATCAGTACAAAATAATTTCTCTAGTGCGTGAGAGTGAAACTAGATGAACTCTGCAATTATTGAGGTTTCTTGGCGAATTTATAGAATTAGGAGGTTTGGAAAAAATAAAGTGGCATTACATGTATGTATTAATTAAAAGGGATTTGTATAAATATTACAAAATTATTATGTATTTAATTATTTAGATATATAATATTTTATTTAGATTTTATTTTAATGTATAAATAAATATAAAATTTAAAATTTAGATATATAAATATATTTAAATTTTATAGTATCTATCTTATTTTATCTCAATTTATAAAAAAATTATTTAAATATTAAAATTCATAATAAAATTTTAATTTATATATTAATTTTTTAAAGTTTTTATTTAATTCTGACTTGAATAAATACAAGAATTTCACACGAAAATAATATTAATGTTTATTTTATAAATGTTTAAAACTTGTGTTTTGTGACTTTTGTCAATGAAAATCCCTGAAAGTAAACGGTGAAAAGTAAAAACTTCTAGATTACTTTCCGGCCAGCGTACCTGGACGCTGGAGAAGCGCGGGTGGCGGGCGAGCGTGGCCTCAAGGCCGGATTTCATCTCGTCGGCGCTTATAAATTTCCCGAATCCCAAGATCGTGACGATGTGGCAGTTAAACTGAGGCTGCCGGAAAAGCCTCGCCGCCGGGCTGAGCGGCTCCCCCTCCTCCTCGGCCGTCGCCGCCGCCGTCATCGGAGATATAGGAGGCGGCCTCAGCATCTTCACCGCAAGACGATTTCTCATCGCAGTTTCCCTACCCTTTCTGGAGCTCGGTTCGACAGTCAGGGTTGCACGAATTATAGAAGACGTGAAGGAACCAAGTTACCACTTTACCAAAATCCCTCCATACCATTGATTGTTTGTCACCACATATATTTTTGCGAGATCAATTTAAAGTCTACTTAAAAATTAGTGGCGCATTTTTTTGACGTGGTCTATACTGTACGGATTGATTAAGATTTTTTTGTATATATATATATATATATATAATCTAAATTTATAGAATTTATATATTTAATATTTAAATTTTATTATTTATATGATATAACACTTTTGAAGTTAGTACAAACTTCTATAACTAAGAGGGTGTTGAAACAAATATCATTAGATACAAAAAAGGCATGATGGGATCTCGTTGGAAAGGAGCTTAGATCACTAGTTCCCTCCTTAATGGGTAAGGAGTTTCCACCATGCATAAGAGATGAAGAAGTTGCCATAGTATCTTATCGGGAATGGTGATGAGATCTATGATGCACCGCTTTTGTTTCCTCATATTCGATTCCTCTAGCTTTTGGGTTGTCTTCATCGTCTTATTATTCATTTGTAAGTTTCGCCACCCCTCAATCCCTTATCAAAACCCCACCTTTGTTGTCTTTTTAGTCCCTAATGATCTCTCTCACTCCATCGGTGACGTGATTCTAAAGGAGAAGGTCGTGATGATGATGTAATTTAAAATTTTAAGTGTTTGATGACTAAATAAGAAAATTTAAAGGTTATTAAAATTATAAATCTTATAATTTTAGTAGTATATATGTTAATCACCCTTTCATGAAATACATTACTTTAAATTATAAGAAAATAAAAATAACTACTAGTTCTGGGTGAAATCTAATTAGGTTGATCAATCGGAATGCACTGTTGCTTCGCACCTTAATTTTGTTTATCAAGAGTGCTAGAGAATTGTAAAGGGTCCTTCCCCTACTAAGGTTTGGGTGCAAAATCAAGTGTACTTAAGAGCTCCGACATTATGTACCCGAATGCCCTGATGTCGTATACCCGACCACCCTGACGCTCTATAATTTTATGTGAAATTGACCTAGCGTAATAGCGTTGTAGTGCTGTCAGATATATTATAGATAGAAGTGTCGAGCGTGCGATGCTCAAACTTGGTGCCATAGTGATGCGAAATGTGCTGCAGTTTTTCTTTCTCTTTTGTTTTCTTATGGGGTGCATCCATGATTGTTGTATTGCTTTTTCTCTTTGTTTATCCACGTAAGAACCGTATAAGATAAAAGAGAAGCAATGCCAGAGTGATAGAGAAGAGAGATCTATACTAATTCTCCTAAATTTTCATAGCGAATTTCTTGATGTGGAGTGGCATTGTAGCTTTTTTCCAATTTCAAGATTTTTCACATTAAATCCTGATGTTCCTTATTTTCGCTACAATATATATTTGTTGTGTTTTGTTGCAAGTTTTACTTCCGCCTCAACAACTAGTATAAGAGCCACATTCTTTAGTTCTAGTGAGAGTAATGACTAACAAAGCAAAATATAAGATTGATAAGTTTAGTAGTTTGAACTTCGGATTCTGGAGAATGTGAATGTGAATTGCATATTTGTTGCATCATAAAAAGTCGAATTTACCATTGAAAGGAATAACCAAGAAGCTAGATTTTATGAGTATGGAGGAGTAGGAGGTTCTTGATCAGACTACCCTGAGTTTGATTCGACTTTCAATTTCCTCATATGTTTCTTTCAACATTATAAATAAGAAGACTATAGTCGATCTCATGGTTGCACTAACTAAGAAGCCATCGGCCTCAAATAAAATGTTCTTGATGAAGAAATTATTCAATATGAAGATGTAAGACAATACTTCAATGGCAGAGCACATGAATAATCTAAACACTGTTGAGTCCGTGTTAAGTTGGCATCAAATTTTATGATGAGATGAAAGCTTCATTGTTATTGTCTCACTGCATGATAGTTTGGATGGGCTTGTTAATGTTGTAAGTAACTCTTCAAGAAGTTTAAAGTTGAACTTCGAGGATATTATGGGGTTAGAAATGTATGAAGAGGTTCGCAGGAAGATGAATAGTGAATCTTCAAATTCTACTTTACATGTTGAAGCAAGAGGATAGGGTTTAGAGAGAAATTCAAATAGAGGGAGATGTATATTAAGGAGAAAAAAGTCTATTCAGGTACATGCAAAGTTGTTTGTTGGAGCTGTGAAAAGAATGGCCACTTTAAGAACAACTACATAGTTCCAAAGAATGTTAGTAGTAGAGGTCAAGATAAAAATCTTTCTGTAAATGTATCTATAGAAGAGTTTTAGTCAAATTCTTTGATTTTATCTCTAGATAATTTTGAATCTTGGATTATAGATTAAAGTGCTTCATTTCATATAGATTTGAATAAGGAGGCATCTAAGAACTAAATTGAAGGTGAATATGGGCAAAGTGTGTCTAGGAGATAACAATCCCTACAACATTTTAGGACAAGGAGATGTTGATATCAGAATGTCAAATGGGTCAACTTTGAGACTCAAGGATGTTAGGCATGTTCCTTATCTGAAGTGAAACTTAGTTTATGTGAGATAACTTATAAACTAAGGATATATGACATTCTTCATTGGAGATATATGGAATATGATAAAAGGGGCTATGGTAATAGCTCATGACAGTATTGAATGCACCATGTATATTACTAATAAAATATAATATACTATTGGAGTAGCTGATTTAGATGTTGATGGAGGTCTTTGACATCAAAGGCTTGACCATATGAGTAAGAAAAGTTTGCATTCACTTCTTATTTGAGGAAAGCTTTCTAATTTGAAATCTATAAATCTAGATTTTTATGAAGATTTTGTATATGGAAAATAACAAAGGGTGAGTTTCTCAAAGACTGGTTCAAAGGTGAAGTTAAAGAAGTTGGAGTTAGTGCACATTGATATATGAGATTATACTCTAGTCTCTTCTATAGGATTGTCTTTATATAGTTTTTTATTTTTTTTATTTTTTTATGATCACAGTAGAAAGATTTGAGTGCACTTCTTAAAATACAAGTCATATGTTTTTTTATGATTTTAAGAAGTGGAAGCCATGGTTGAGAATGAGACATGTTTAAAGCTCAAGTGTCTTATATCAGATAATGGCAGTGAATATCGTGATAAAAAGTTCAATGCGTATTGTGCTTTGACTGAGATCATGCATGAGTTCAATGTTCTAAGAACTCCATAGAAGAATGATGTTATAGAGCGCATTGAAGAACTATCCCTGAGCGTGTAGGGAGCATGAGGCTGCTTGCAGGTCTACCCAAACAGTTATGGGAAAAAGGTAATGAATATTGCTATTTATCTGATCAATCATTATCATTCAGTTCCTCTAAATGAGGGGTTACTTGAGAAAGCTTGGAGTGGTAAGGATATGAATGAGCATCCTATAGATTCTGTCAAATATATTGAGTTAAAAATATTGATGATCATGAAGACAAAATTGATGAAGTATAAAAGGCTTCGCATACACCTGCTATTGAAGTTAGGAGATCAAGCATAATCTCAAAGTCTATATATATATATATATATATATATATATATCTGATTGATATTGGTGAACCATGGTGCTATGATGAGTCCATTCAATTTGATTATTTAAAGAAGTGGGAGCAAGTCATGGATGATGAGATGCATTCACATGAGTTGAATAAGACATGAGATTTTACATAGCTACCATATGACAAGAAAGCATTGCATAAAAAGTTGGTTTATAGGCTGAAAGAAAATTTTAATGGTGGCAAGCACTATAAGGTTAAGCTTGTAGTAAAAGTTTTCAACAAAAGGAAGTAGTGAACTTCACTGAAATTTTCTCTCTAGTGGTGAAGATTACTACAGTTGGAGTTTTACTAAGCATAGTAGCAATGGAGGATTTACACCTATATAAAATGGATATAAAGGTAGAATTTCTTCAAGATGACCTTGAAGAAGAGTTGTACATAGTGCAATATCAGGAATATGTGATCACATGTAATAAAGAGCTGGTTTGTATGCTTAAAAGAGTCTTTATGAGATGAAGCATACACCAAGATAGTGATACATGAGATTTGATAGGTTTATGTCAGACAATATGATAACAGGTAATGATGTGCTCGGCAGATGATTGTTGTTATTTATAATATTTTGATAATTGTTATGTCCTTCTTCTTTAATATGTGGATGACATGTTAGTTTTAGGGTCGATATAGAGAAGACAAGATATATGAAGGAAAGTTATCAAAGGATTTTGAAATGAAAATTTTGGGTCCAACGAAAAAATTCTTGACATGAGAATTAGTAAGAATAGAAGTGCATGTATGCTGAAGTTGTCTCAATCTAACTAAATTGAAAAGGTGATGCTTAGATTAACATGAGTGGGGTAAAGCCAATTTGTACTCCCTTGGATAGTCATTTTTAGCTAAGGAATAATCGCCTAAATATGAAGCAGAGCA